GAAAATCTACAGGGCAATGTAAATTTTAGAACACATAACATTGGAGGGATAAATTCACAAGGCAGAACATAGTGCATACATACTTATGTATCTAAAATTCACAAAAAAATTTGCAATCAAATTGTATGTTTTTGTCAATCATATTAGTAAGTTTTATGCTAGATATATAGGATTCTACTTAAAAATTCTTTGTACAAACATTAAAGGATGATGATTGACAATTTGAAATCCAGCATAAAAAAAAAAAACACCCATTGTGTAAAATCTTGTCAGAAATAACTCAATAATAAAACCAACATTTGAATTCACAGAACCCTAGCCTTAACCCACATTGGTATCTTCCAAACTTCCTCCCTCACTATTCTACCCACATTCGCATTTTCACAAACAAAATCAATATAAATAAAATTCAAATTGAGAGAGAGAGAGGGAGACAATGCCAACATACCTGCGAAAAGAGACGAGCTCAGAGAGAGGGAGGAAGGTGCAGCGAGTGACAGAGAGAGGGAGAGTCACTGTGAGCGACCCAGAGAGAGAGAGAGAGAGCAGAGAGCGATAGAGAGAAGGAGAGTGATTGTGAAAATTGTATGTTTTTGTCAATCATATTAGTAAGTTTTATGCTAGATATATAGGATTCTACTTAAAAATTCTTTGTACAAACATTAAAGGATGATGATTGACAATTTGAAATCCAGCATAAAATAAAAAAATAATAACAATAAAAAAAAAAAAACACCCATTGTGTAAAATCTTGTCAGAAATAACTCAATAATAAAACCAACCAACATTTGAATTCACAGAACCCTAGCCTTAACCCACATTGGTATCTTCCAAACTTCCTCCTTCACTATTCTACCCACATTCGCATTTTCACAAACAAAATCAATATAAATAAAATTCAAATTGAGAGAGAGAGAGAGACAATGCCAACATACCTGCGAAAAGAGATGAGCTCAGAGAGAGGGAGGAAGGTGCAGCGAGTGACAGAGAGAGGGAGAGTCACTGTGAGCGACCCAGAGAGAGAGAGAGCAGAGAGCGATAGAGAGAAGGAGAGTGACTATGAGCAACCTAGAGAGAGAGAGAGAGCAGAGGGCGACAGAGAGAGGGGAGGAAGGTTGCCTCTGGTTGGGGTTTTGGGGGAAAAGAAAGAGAGGAGGTAGAAAGCATGGTTGCAAATGAGGGGGGTAGGCCTTTTTTAAACGACTTTCTGTTAAAAGCGTGTTTCCAAATCGCGCGATCATTATGAAAGCGCTAATAGTAACAGCGCTTTCTCAAATGAGGGGGGGTGGGCCTTTTTTAAATGGCTTTTTGTTAAAAGTGTGTTTCCAAATCGTGCAATCATTATGAAAGCGCTAATAGTAACAGCGCTTTCTTAAGTAAAGTCGCGCGATCATTATGAAAGTGCTAATAATAACAGCGCTTTCTTAAGTAAAGTAGTGTTTTCTAAACACACTTTCATAATTGCACTGCTTGGGCCAGAACATGCTGAAAGCGTGTTTTGTAAACATGCTTCAACTTAGTTTGGGAAATTCCGCGAAAGTAGGCTTAGTTTGGGAAATAAATTAGTATAGGGGCTTAGTTTGGGAAAAGCCCCTGATTTTTGTGTGTTCTGGACATGTTTCTCAATTTAGGGAAGCTGGACTTTTTTGTTTTTTTGGGAATTAAATCAAATTTGGATCCAAACAGAAATCCACAACAAACATACATACAAACAAATTTGGATCCAATGCTGGGTTTCAGACAAGTGGCTCTCTTTTGTTTTGTTTGTCTTTTTTCTTTTTCTCCACAAAGATGCCAAGTCTTCAACGAAGGTCTCTGATGAGTAGTTAGCCAGATCTGAATCTGAAAGTAAAAGGCCTTTTCGGTGATGATATGTTGTTTAAACAGATAAAAAGTGAACATATAAAAAATTTGAACATAGAGGAATTTCAACATATAAAAAAAATTTGAACAAATTAGAAATTTCAACCAAAAAAAAAATTAAATAAATAAAAAATTTAGTAGATAAAAGAATTTGAACAGATAAAAATAATTTCAACAGATAGAAATAATTTCAATAGACAGTCAACAAAAAGTCAAACAGATAAAAAAAAGTCAGAGGGTAAAATTAGAAATAAAATATTTTTCAAGGCTTTTCAGTAAACTATTATACAAAGTTTGATCCTCTCATCAACGAAAAAAAAAAAAATCTCTTGGGCCTAATGTTTTATACTCTTTTTATTTTGAATTTATCACCAATTAATCATTTTTTAATGACAATTATAATTTCAATTAAAATTACTATAACAAAGACAAATTAAAATAAAATACCCACTCTCACAAAAACAACTCTTAGAATTGAACACCCAATCCCAATAAAACCAAATTGAACACCCACCTTTGAAAATCCAATGCACATGGTCCATCATTCATAGAACAATAGGGCTGAACCAAACTGGTGGAAAAGATTAAGAAAAGTGGGTAATGAAGCCTGATCGAGATAGCGTGGAGGAGGTTCGAAGTGTATTGGTAATTTTTTTTATTAGAAAGTTCAATTATAATTGACAAGAAAGTAAAACTTAGCAAAAAAATTAGTTAACATATTTTTATATATTTCTTCATTGGCTTAGAATCCCAAACAGTGACTTGAATTTCTCTAACAAAATTTCATGAAATCAATCGCTTAGACTGTATTTGGTTAAGAGATTTAAAAAATAAAAAAATGTAGGTGAATATTAGTGGCACTACCAGGAACAACATTGTTTAGGTATTGTCTCAGTATGGCAAATTGAATCCTGTTTTTTAATTTATTTTTTAATGCTAAAACAATTGAACAATTAATAATCACGTGTTACTGTTATTGCCACACAGGCTTTAGTAACACAAGTTTTAGTCATGGTTCAAGATTCAGGACAATCATCTTTGATTGAGGTAAAAAATCTTCAAGAAATGATCGGAGCAAGCTCATTTTGTCGTTGAGGGTATCATATGCATTAGCATTAGTAATAATCCAAATATGTTTTTGTTGTATTATTTTTATTTTTGTTTTTGTTTCCAAGGATTTATAGTAAGCGGGTTCGTGTACATTGCAGTTGCCGGAGTGTTGACAGAAATTAACAATGGCAGCAACTCAACAATAAAAAGTACTGTACTCCAATAAACCTCACTACTATTTGGAATGGCCATCACACTTTGTATATCCATTGTTGAATGAATATAAAGCACCTTCTAATTTGCGTTTAGTAATTTTAAAGATCAATGTAATCAAAGTTGTCAATCGACTATTATCAGGGGCGATATCAATTTTTGTTATTTTCCTAAATTTTATACTGTGTCATGTACTTTTAGTAATAGAAAGATAGAAATTAAAATATTCATTTGTATTTTTTTATAGCCACACAACATGTGTTCTTGCTAAGTATGAATACAAAATATAGTTTTACACCTCATTTGTTTTAGTCAAGATATCTATACGTTATATATATATATATATAGTTGCGACTTTGAAACTAATGTATTAGTAGTTGTGTTCGTGGTGGTGGTGAGTTAATGGACCAACAACAGTCCCTTTAAATCGTACATTAACTTTATTAACAAACTAACAAATCTAACTACATAGAATGTTGACAAAAAAAAAAGTAAATAAATAAATAAATAAAAATTTAACCTAAAGGCATTCTCCCTTTTGACTTTATTTTGCTTTTGTACCAAATGCTTGTGGTTTTTGGTAGGTGGTAGAAAATTTACTAACAGAATATTAATGCAATTCATTAACAACTGAAATTTCGTATAATTTTTTTTGTATAGCATTATTCATTGTTCGCAACCATTTTCCTGTGCAAAATCTGTCTTAGCTAGTAGAATCTAAGAGAACATTTCCACATAAATGTCAAAAGCTTTGCCAGAACTTTGATTGCTCAAATTGCTTTCCATAACCTCAACAAACTGTTTTCCTTTGTAGTTCCAACCATAACCTCATAACCTGAACCAACATTATACTCAACTTTCATTGACAAGTGCCAAGTCCAATACGCTGCATATGCAATTGAGATAGGTATGCTCACAATGATATTAGACAGCTTATAGCACGACATTGCAAAAGTGGGTAAAAAGTGTACACAATCGACTCAAGTAACACCTCCTTCCCTACCAAAGGTAAAAATTTAGCTTTCCATTCTGCACACCTCTCTTTAACCCTATTTGTGACAAATTTAAAGAGCTCCCTCTTTGACCCATCCATATCTAAAGGCAACCCCAAATATTTACCAAAAGATGCACTGACAGGAATGGATAAAACCGAGCTAATCTTTTGCCATCATTGATTTCTAAAGATTAATAAGCAGACCTGAAGATGGCTTATAGAAGGGCTCCCTTCTCACACCCAAATCCCAAGAATCTCCTTCCTGGTCTCTGCCTTCTTAAACATAGTCAACAAACCTTCACCACAACTTCAAAAAAAGAAAAAGAAAAAAAAAAGAGAGAAATGGTGATAACAAATCCCCTTGTCTCAGCCCTTGAGATGGAACAATGAACCCATGTTTGTGCCTGTTAATCAGCAAGGAATGAGATACAATAGAGACAAATTCCATAATCAAATGGATCTACAATGTTGCAAATCCCAACTTGCTCATAATAGTCTCCAGAAACAGCCATTCAACTCTATAGTAGGCCTTACTCATGTCAAGTTTCAAAGCCATAGAAATATTTCTACCATACCTCTAATGTTATATGTTTATAAAACATTACTCATTTGTAAATCAAGATCACAATGATGAAAATTCTGTTTTTAAATCAAGAGACCACAATATGCCACATCACTCTAAACAAAAAAATTGTACAATTTTTTTGTCTGTATATCACCACTCAAAACTATTAATGCATGGCAAATAAGAGATGTATCATGCATGCAACCTATATGAAAAATAAAGGATATATTGTTAACTCAAATTCTCTGTTCCTCCTAGTTGAAGTGGCTGGTCATACCAAACGCCTAAATCTATTTAAACCATGTAAATTTAGAATTACAAACTGTACTCCATTTTTATATTTTCACAGTAAACAAGTCATAGAATAATACTCCAACAATTTCCTCACAACAATTGTAATATATTACATAAAAGCACACTTAACCAACAATTTCTAGCACAATCAAACACTCTAATTGGTACATTTTCTCTGATAGCACCTTTGAAAACACCATTTCTGTTTGATTCAGAACAAGGGAGGGAAGCCATAGCAAGACAATCTTCATCCTGAAACATGTTATCAAACTAGTTTTACATTTTCAGCCAAAGGATATACAAGTACTGCCAAAAACAATGAAATTCCACTTGAGAAAATTAAAATTCACTGTGAAGTTGCATTCCTGATTAATCTTCCTGTGTGAAATTTTAAAAGCAAAAAAAAAGTTCAGAAAAGAAAAAGAAAAAGAACATGACAAAAAATTAGAAACATCACAATAGACATAACATTTTAAGATGTTTCAACGCACTAGCTCACATGTTAGTCCAAAGTTTTCCACTAGTTAGATCAAGATCTTTGGCAAGTTGTTGCCCATGCGGAATACCTAATCTAGATGGGTGAAACATGAAAATCAAAAGCAAAAGAATAGGAATTATAAATCATACATACACAAGAACATAAGATTGAAGGTGGTTCATCTCAAAATTAGGCATACGCCCACGATCATTGCAGTTGTGCAATGATTAGAAAAAAAACAACCAATATACAGAGAACTATGTATTCATAGTTGGATCTACGATCAAGTGGTTAATATTCAATACTTATCAGAAAGATTAGGTAACAAGCCAAGGATCAACATCCCCTCCCACTCTTTCTTGGTTTTTCTTAAGGTTGAGCTCTTAAACTCCCATTTGGCAATGTTTATCTTTTAATCTTTTGTTTATGTTTTACAAATATTTTGAAAACGGGAAACAAAAACTTGTTTGGTGTCTCGTTTTTGTTTCCAAAAAATGGAAATAATTTTGAAATTTTACTAAATTATACGAGAAAAAAAACATAAGGTATTGTCCTTAGTACAAATAGCCAACACGAAATTGATAAAGGGGTACTACTCATTTTTCCGACTATTATATTTTAGCAGATGCATTAGAAGAAGAGATCCATTAAGTTGTTTAAACATCAACTTCATTTGAGCATAGTTACCCCAGCCCTATGCTCACTTGATATACTCAAATCAGTATATCGATCATAGGAGGAAACTTACTGATTAGTTTTGTAGATGGTAAGTCATGACCTGAAAATTTGCCTTGTGTATACACTCAGGCAAGGCCGGCTCAACTCGTGAAATTGGTGCCCAAGCTCTCCTATGGCTAAGCTCAGTAGATTTTTTCTCTAGCGGGCCATGCCATACCAGAGCCAAAAATTTTAGGCCCAAGCCTTGACGAGCTAGCGGGGTGGACTACCTAACCCTAACAATCTTTTTTTTTTTTTTATAAATGTTTTTCCTATTTTTGGCTTGTGGGTCGAGCCAGTGGGCTGATTGATCACCTCTCAAGGGCCAACTAGTCAGTTTACAACACCTGGACCTAGACCAAGTCCCAAGCCAAGCCTTTTTCGGGCTTTGCTAGCCTACCCAAGAATATGGACCTGGCCGGGTCACTGGTCAAATGATGACCCTACATTACATTTCGATAGCATCTTAAAAACACAAACTTCTATTTTTTCTTATATGTTTTTTAACATGTATCGAAACATACTTATTATGAATAAAAGGAATACAGATAGAACCAAAACAGTGAAATTCAAATTGCGATTACATCTTGGTAAGTAAAGAAGCTGCTAAACACAAAGAAGAGGTAGAAGCAACATTTTTAGCTGTAGTTATATCATTGTATGAGAATTAAGAGGAAAAGGAAGAGGTAAAATACGAATAGTAAGACTGATACCAGGTGGAGAGAAAGAAAGAGGAACAGACGAAGAAGTACGACAGGAGACAAGACATGATCATTAGCAAGAGGACTAGGATTAGAAGAAACAGAAACAAGACTAGGAGAAGAAACAACAACATTATCTACTCCCTCCTTCAAATTCAAACTTAATAATGTGTGGCATGCTCCACAAATTTCATCTATTTTGCTTTATGTTCATAAACTCACATCTGATAATGCTTGCACCATTACTTTTGTTGATAAATCATTTGTTATTTTGGACAAACACAACAACCAAGTTCTATGTAGAGGTCATCATCAAAATGGTCTTTATCAGTTTCCTTCCCTTTCATTTTGATCACTGTTCAAAGGCTTTTTCTAGTATTAGTTCTCCAGTTGCTACCTCGCATAAGAGACTAGGGATTCTTCTTCAGATGCTTTTTATATAGCTAAAACTTATGGTTTTTCCATTTCTCATAAAGACTGTTCTTCTTTTTGCAATCATTGTTGTGTCTCAAAGAGTCACAAACTTCCTTTTGTATTGACTAATACTAATTCCAATATTCCTCTTGCTTTAATTCACTCTGATACATGAAGAAGAGAGAGAGAGAGAGAGAGAGAGAGAGAGAGAGAGAACAAAAAGATATTTTCCATTATTTCATTATGAACTCAACTACACATACAAGTCTTTGATCAATGTGTACATAGAAACAAAACAAACTATCTCTAGATTAGTTATAGATTCTAACTAACTAAGGTTGTTAACTTGTTATAGAGGAGAGGATTGTGTACTGTTGTCCTGCATCCTTATGTTAGTTTTCTAGGTGTGTTATAGTTGTCATTGCAGCTGTGTCTTCAACAGCCTTAGTTGTTATTATGGCTCCTGAGGTGATAGTATCTAGGAGCCAATTATGGGGACATAATTTTGACATGTCCATGTGGCATGACCTCGGCCCGAAGTGCCACATGATGGAATGTAATTAGCCGAGGTATGAAAATGATCCATGTCTAGGCTGAGGTATTTGGTGAAAGACAAAAATCCTAGTAAATAAATGACTCCTAGGTTGAGTGTATTTAGAACTATTTCGAGAGGTTTAACCCAACTAGGAGAGATGAATCATCTAGTATTATTCCTAAAAGGAATTCTAGGAGGAGGAGGAGGAGGAGGAGGAGGACACCTGTATATAAAGGCAAACATCCTATGTGTGAGAAGTGCGTGAGTTTATGTGTGTTAATTTGAGTTACCGTTACTTTGTCGAAATATCTTGAGATGTTAGTTTATTGACTTTATCATCAGAGTGCCCTCTCGGTTGACGAGAAACCGAGTTTGATTTTCCTTTTAATTGTGCAGACGTGGATCTAGGCTGCGAGTTCTACGATTGTGTTCCCAGAATTCCAGGAGGAAGATCAGAGTATTGGTTATGTGGTCAAATTTTAGCACACATACTCCATACACTTTATTTTTAATAATTTTTTGAATTACTTTTCTACACTTATTAGACCACATGAATATTGTTATTTAATACTTATGTATCACATATTCCAAAAATGTTTACAAAAATTAAAAAATAAAAAATAAAAACGAAAATGAAATATGAAATATGAAATATGAAATATGAAAAAACATAAAATGCTGTATGCTCAATTAAATTTTAAATAAAAAATAAAAAATAAAAAATAAAAATGAAAATGAAATGAAAGAAACTATATTTTGTTTTGGTTAAGTTAAGAATATGAAAAAAATGAATTAGATAATAGTACAAAAATAACCATATTTGTTTAATTAATTTTATTTTCCCTGTAAGCATTATCCAAATGTAGCATAAATATTATTCAAAAATTTAATATCAAGTTTTTTATGCAATTATCTTAAATATATGTAAATAAAATATATAACTTATAAGGGTAAATAACAGTCACCTCCCTTGAGGTTTTGGACAATTATACTGATCTCCCCTTCTTTTTCTAAAATTTTATTTTGAAATTATAAGGGTAATTAGGGGAAGGGGAATAAAAAAAGTGTCTAGGAAGGGAACTAAAATAGGAGTTGAAAGTGGTTAACAAGAGAAGTGAAATGATTTAGAGAGCTTGATGCGGGTTAGAGATGACTTCATTTTGGATGGATTGGGGAAGGGGTTAATGCTACTCTTTCTATAAAAAAATAATTTCAATCTCCAATTTATTTTCGATTTTAACAAAATTTAAAGGAATATTATTATGTATTGTAAATTAAAAATTTTAATTGTTATGTCATTTGAGAAAATCTAATATAAAAGTATATATTATTTATCTTGTATGCTAAATGTAATTTTTATAATTCATTCAATTTTTTTGCTCTAAAATGTTATTGATCCACATAATGACATACATATATATATCTATATATTAGTTAATACTTAAAATAAATTATTAATAACAACACAATTAAAACACAACTTTAGTACAATTTAAATGAAAAAACTCATTCACATAATTTTTAATATTTTTTTTCCTTTTGAATTTTAAAATTATTACTTTAATTTTTAGGATAAAATTTTAATTATTTGTTTAAGACCGCACATAGCATGAGTTTATGTTGGTTTATATATACACAAGATAGATTACTTTTATTTTCAGTTCTGCTGGGTAGCTCGAAACTAGCTGGCGCAAATGGCTCGTTTTGCTTTTTTTTTTTCTTCTTCTTCTTTCCGTCTTCGTCTTCCTTCTTCCTCTCTTTTCTGTCTCAAACATTTGTGATCAACATTTGTGAAAGAAAGTGGGTTGAACATTCGTGATCAACACTTTCTTCATCTTTTTCAACATTAGTGAACTGGTCTGTGCAGAAAAAAGAGGAGGAAACCCATTTTCTTTCACAAATGTTGAACATTGACAAAATTGAAGTTGAACATTTCTTCATCTTCTTCTTCCTCTACTTTCTTTCTTTTTCCCTAAAAACTACCAAACCCATCACAAAATTGAAGCAAACCCACTTTCTCTCTCTAAAAACAAAATCAAAATCAAACCCATCCACTGATCAAACACAAAAATCAAACCCACCCACAAAAAATAAAACCCACCCACCCATCAAGAGAGAGAGAAAGAGAGAGAGAGAGATCTTCCCAAGAGATACACACACAGATACAAGAGGGGTCTTCCCCCTCCATCATCATCAACACACACAGATCTTCCCCTTCCATCATCATCAACACACACAGATCCTCCTCTTCCTCTCTTCTTCCTTCTCTCTTTCTCTCTTCTTCCTTCTCTCTTTCTCTCTGGGTTTGGTTCAACCGTTGAAAGGGAAAGAAGAAAAAAAAAATTATCAAAATCAAAATAACGTCTTTTTGAAAATCGGGCCATTCGGGAGAAAATGTTTCGAGCTACGAAACATTATTCTTTTATTTTATGTAGAGTTGAATTCAAAATGAGAAAAGAATATGATAGAGAAAAGAAAAAAAAATAAACATAAATATAAAAAAGAACATACCTTGTAGAAGTTGTATCATTACACTTTTACTCAAAGGCCCCACGGATTTTTCCTAATCAGCACTTTCAACCAATTATTTCCAATGCTCTCTTGCTCTTCCTTAATTTTCCTAACAGATTCCTCAACACATAAACGACAATGGTTTACCTCAATCAGTTGCAGAGTGAGTATATCCCCCAAACTAGATGGTACTTCCTTGAGATCTTGACACCAATCCAACGATAAGTGTTGAAGGCTTGGAAAGTGACTAGAGCAGGTGATCAATTGCTTAATATCGAGGTCCTTCAGTTTCAAGAATTTGAGTCGAGGAAACCCACTAGCAGTTATTGCCCATTGCCATCCCGAGGCAGTGTCAACATCTAACTTGAGAAGCTCAAGGTTGGGTAACATCCCAAGGACTGATATATTCTCCCACTTTATCTTTGTATATTTCAAGGTTAGCCTTTTAACATTTGTAGGAAACTTGACCTCTTGGAAATTAGTTGGGTAAGAGAACTGATTCAGTAGCTTCAAAGTCTCAAGGTGTCTTCAAAATTCTAGATTAAAAAACATCAAATTCCCTGAATTTGACAACAGATGTCCACAAATTCCTAGCTTTGTAAGAAAATGAGTTCTTGCCAATAAATAACATGTCCACAGGGGTTTAAGTTTGAGATGGTTTGTAGGTTTTTTAATATAGAGGGATGGTTGTAATTTGTTACTGCTTCTTCTGAACATAAAGATTTATCATTGTTTGCTCCTCCTTTAGCATAAAGATGCCTCAACTTTGGAATCTTCCAAACATTACATGGCAGAATAACCTTTCTCCATTGTGTAGAAATAATAATAAGTGTTTCTAGGTTTGAGAGATACATGAATGTTTCAAATTAATTGCCAAATACCTCAGATTAACAAGTTGTGTTAATTCTCTTGAAAAGAAGGCATTATTATAGCATATTTCCAACACTCTAAGAAGTTTGAAGGTCCAACAAATAAACGAGCACATATCACCAAACGAATTGTCGTCGTAACCAATTATTTTCTGAAACGCATGTCCGAAGCACAATAATGATTGAAGAACTGTTGGGGCATAAGACTGTAAGAGAATATGATCAAATTTTGGTCCGAAGTAAGAAAGGATGCACAAGCAGCATTGGTTATTTGTTTCGTAATTACTTGAAGAAGAAGGAGAAGCGTCTTTATAATTGTGAGTCCACTGTAAGGATAAATCACGCAACAAATCATGCATACGACATGCTTTAATTCGACTATCAAACCTTTTTTGAGCAACAATTACTAGACTTGTTTGAATTAGATCCATTAAGTAATCTTCCGCTACTTCCTCCAAGCTTTTCTGCTCAATTTTTTGTATAAACCCCTCAGCTATCCATAACCAAATTAATCTCTGCACTGAGATTTTTTGATCTTCTGGAAATGCTCCTAAATAGAGAAAGCATGGTTTCAAGTGGCGAGGCAAGTGACTGTAACTCAATGCTAGTGTGTCCAAGTACTGGTTTGGATCACTAACAATGTATGAGCTTACACTTTGGGCAACTTGTTTCCACGACTCTTGTGTCTTGATGTTCTTTGCAAGAAGTCCTGCTATTATAACAATTGCAAGTGGAAGTCCTCCACATTTTTTCATTATTTGCTTCCCAATTTCAATCAGTTATGGAGGGCAACTTTCATTTTGAAACACCTTCCGTTGTAATAACGCCTAACTCTCTTCTTCAGTGAGAAAACACAGACAATGAGGATGGCAATCAGGTGAGGCATGCATAGACAACTCTTTGAGTCGACTAGTGAACATAACTCTACTTCCATTGTTGTCTTTGGGGAAATACATTTTAAGATCGTCCCAGGCACCAATATCCCATATATCGTCAATGACAATGAGATATCTCTTGCCCTTTAATTGCGTGTACAACTTTTCCCCTAGCTTCACATTGGTCGTGTTTTCGATTTCATCGGTAAAAACAACATTAACAGAACATAAAATGTCCAACAACATTTCTGTTTTGCTGGGTAATTGAGAAGCGTAGGTCCATGCACGAATATGAAAGTAGTGTGTGATGTAAGGATCATTGTACAGTTTTTTGGCTAAAGTTGTCTTACCAAGTCCAGGCATCCAAAAAATGGATATCATTTGTAGCTGCTTCTTCCCTCCAGCAAGTAGCTCTTTTATAGTCAACGCTTCATCATCAAAGCCCACTGTAATTTCTTCATGTCCCATGGTTCTATTCTCCATTGACATTGACATTGACATTGACAAATGGACTCCATGATTGAAAGACTGATCATCTTGTAGGAGTTGGATCTGATTTATCTAGCCATAAAATTGCGCCACTTTTGCTTCGATCGTCTTAATCTCATCCATGATATTTATGCCAAATAAAATATCAAAAAAACTGTCAACGTTGTTGTTGCTGTCTCTCTGCCCTGGAACTTCAACATAAAAAAGACGGATGAGTTGTCTTGTCTTGCAAATCACGTATTAAATTTGAATCGATAGGTTTTCAGCTTCATGGTTCAGCTCATGTTGCCGCTGCTTCTCGTCCATATCCTTGAGAATGATAGCTAGGAATCTTAGCCGATGGTAAAAAGAGTTGATATGATCAATCTGATCTGCGGTCAAATTGCACGCCTTACTGATCCTTAGATGATTCAGTTTCTCCAAGACAAAATAATTTTCACCCATCTCCCTCTCGAATCTCTCTCTCTGTTTCCCCAAGACAGAATATTTTTTACCCATCTCCCTCTCGAATCTCTTTCTCAGTTTCTCCAAGACAGATCTCCCTCTCAGTTTCTCCAAGATAGATTTCTCTCTGTGTTTCTCTACAGAATATTTATCACCCATCTCCCACTCGAATCTCTCTCTCTGTATCATCTTTCTTTTTGTCTCTCTCTTTCTTTCTCTTTCTCTTTTTGTTCCTCTTTCTCTGTCTCTTTCCTTCTCTGTCAAACTACACAAAGACAGCGTTTCGATCACCGAACACTGTACTGGTTCCATATCCCGATCTCTCTCTCTTTCTATCTGTCTCTCTTTCCATGTCTTTATCTTTATTTTTCCAGTGGCGTTAGACCATCTCCAATGGTTGAGGTGGGTCAACCGGTCAACCAACCGGTTGTCCGGCCGGTTGACCAACTGGTCGACCGGTTCCCTTTCAAATAGCTAGGTTCAAACTGGTCAAAAAGGTTCACACAGGTTAAAAAAAAAAAAAAATTTTTTTTACCTTACTGGTCGACCGACCGGTCAACCAACTGGTTAACCACTTCCCTTTTGATGCATGGTTGGAACAAATGGTATCAAATTGAGAACATTAGCTTTTTTCTACTCAAATTTGACTCACTGCTGGAGATGCTCTTAGAGACCACTAATTTAGTGGCTCTAAACCCACCGCTAATAAGGTGGCAAAGCAAAAAAAAAAAAAAAAAAAAAAGACAAGAATAAAGAACAAACAAACAAACAAACACAATACAAACTGTGGTAGTGGGTGGGACCCACTGCCACATCACTAGTGGTAGCTCTAATTAGAGCTCCTACTCATTTCCCTTATTTTTCTCTCTCTGTCTTTCTATTTCTCTTTCTCTTTCCATAGCCCGATTTCGGTGCTCTGCTATCTCTCTCAAGTTTTGTGTTCTGAAGTCGGAGTTCAATCAGAAAAAACTTTGTGGGTGTTTTGCAGGAAAAAACTGGTGATTGAGCAGAGAATCTTGAAATGGGGGTTGGTGGCGGTGTCGATCCCAAAAAAGAAAAAAAAAGAAAAAAGAAAAGAAAAGAAATAGTGTAAAGAAAGATCTTTTCAGTTTTGAGAGGTAGAATAGAGAAGATTCATAATGAGAGAATTAATAATGAGAGAATAGGTAGTGAGGAGATTAAGTAAAATTGTATTTGTTTTGATGATAGTTGTTAGTGTAGGAATTGTTAAATTATTTTTATATAAAATAATAAAGAAAATAAAAAAATATAAAAAAATTAGACATTAATGTTCAAAAAAAAAAAAATGCCCAACATGGAAAAATAAATAAAAAAAAAAAAATTCTAATCCCTTCACTATTTTTCTAATACCACCTCTACCACCTCCATCCCAATCCTCATTCCAAGCTCCATCCTAATCCCCTTCTCCATCTCAATTCCTTCCCTAACTCTACAAACAAACACAAAATTAAATAGGTCCCACCTCCATCCCAATCCCATCCACCCTCTACATCCCAAAATAAACGGGGCCTCCGAGTGAAGAAGCAGAAGGAGCATGTGGCTTCTTGAGTTTGGATCCAAAAGGAAACATTGAAAGCAGAATTGCAATGCCAAAAGTAAAGGTAAAGATAAAACAAAGAAATTTCATTTTACCTCTTAAATTATTATGTGGTTTTTTATTTAATTTTCAAATTTTGATTAATATTGATTTTATATTTAAATTTTTAAAATTTTGATTAATTTGATTTTTGTTGTCACATTTTATCTATAATTAGGCAGAATGTATTAACGTGATACCAAAATTAATTTATAACTTCATTTTACCCTCAAAATTATACCTTGAAAATAAATTTATCCCTCAAAAATAAAAAACTTATATTTAAATATTTAATAGATAAATTTTTATCTCAATAATGAAAAAAATTAAATTTTAAATAAAATATAATTTGCAAAAAAATAATAAAAAATATAAAAATCCCCATTTAGAATTATCTTGAGACTATAAAGTATGGATAATTTGACAAACATGTCGTGCGTACTTACTAATGTATGGTATTTCTGTATACGTATCGGGTACACAAAACACGTACTCAAAGTGGGTGTTTGGGAAATGTAGGCACCCCATTTTTGACTGACCTTAAGACTCAGACGTCATCGATTGAGCGCTTGATGATGGTGCATGTTGGGCTCGTTTCGAGTCTCCGGAGTTTTGTCTGAGAGTCTTGCCTCCGGGCCTCTGAACTCTTTTGTGCTTCGGCTCGGTTTGTGGACCAAATCTTATTTCTCTTCCCAGAGGGAGGGAGAGGTCTTGTAGACCATCTCCTTGTGGTCGTAGACCACTTTTCCCGCTTGGAGACTAGTTTCTGGTTTTCGGAGCCTTCGGCCGCGCGCCTTGGCTCTGGACCACTTAACGTTCTCCGTTTGGTGTGGTTTTTGAACCATGCCTTGTTGCCTCTGCCTAGAGGAACACTGTGGTCCAGGAGACCACTTTTGTGGTTGCATACCACTTTTGGTGACCGTAGGCTAGTTTTCGGGACTTTCGGCCGCGTGCTTTGCCTCCCAATCTCTCGTCTTGCATCCGTTTTGGTTTGTTTTTGGTACAAACCTTGTTTTCCTTGTTTGGAAGGTGGTACAAGGGTGCGAGACCACTTTTTCTCCTTCGAGACCACTTTTCCTTCTGCCAGCTAGTTTTCTGGTCGGATAACTGGCTTGCTCGACCTTTGGGCCACATTTTCTGGTCGGCCACCACACCACTAGTCTTCTTTCATGCTGCAGACTATCTCCTACCATGGCCGACCACTTTTTACCCTGGCCGACCACTTCCATTAGTCGGCCGACCAGTGTATGTAGCTGGTCGACCACTTCAAGTGGTCGGCTGCTTTCCATCACCTTTTTGGAGATATTTTCCTCCA